AAAATTACTCGCGGTGATTGGTATCCGCCTGTTGGGTGCCGCACTAAAAAAAGATACCTGCTTCCGGGAAATGTACTAGGTCTGCAATGGAAAAACACCCATCCGCAGCCCATTAGAAATAAAACAAATCATCAACATCATGTTATCACAGACTGAATAATAACTGATGATGACTGAAACTGAATAATAACTGAAAAAATTATTTTCAAAAGGTATTGAATATTTAAATTCACTTAAGAATTTTGAAAACACTGCAATATTTTTCTAATTATATATATATATATATATAATTATATATATATATATATATATATATATATATATATATATATATATATATATATATATATATATATATATATATATTCGTTATAAACATTTCTTCCGTTTTATGAGAAATTCCCAACGACCTTGAGGAAGAAATTATAAAAAGTTGTTAAGGACTTTCAAAGAAATATTGCGCAAATAATCAGAGACTCGACGCATAGTGACTAACAAATGCACATAGATCTGAATTTATGTTTGAGACATTTATTTTCCACAACAATTTTCGAGGAATTCTTTTCTTTACATGTTTATAAATGGAACGGTACACAAAAGAGTATTCTAGAAATTGTGATTACACTTAAATGTTTCTGAAAGCAGAATATGAAGCAATTTCTTATTGCACCTTGTAATTAGGAATACTTTTATAGTCTCGTTCAGTTTTTCATTAATCTTCTGTTTATTTTTTCATTCTCTCTTTTGATCAGATTACTTTCACTAGTACTCAAAGAACACGAGTTTTCGTAAGTGAATAAGTTTCTTACGGTTTCCTTTTCTTTTACATTTGGGTTTGCTCTTTATTCTTTCTATGCGCGTGGACAATGAGAGTCCCTTATAAGTATCACAAAAGAACTTCATTTCAAATTGCACGAGACAGTGAATTCATTTGTTGCAAGTAATGACCTTTTTGGAAATTGCGAAATTAATCAAATAATCATATACTCGATGCATAAGTGATTGTTAAATGCACTTAAATCTAACTTTGTAATTGAGATATCTGTTTTTCAATATTAATTTTGCGTGATTCGTTTCTTTAAGTAAATGATTTTGTTAGTTTTCTTCATTAGAAGTAGTTTTTGTTAATAGAAATTGCTGTGTAATACTGGTTTTGTCGCCCAAATGTGTGAAAGATGGTTAGATATACTGTATGTCCGGGTTTAAAGTATCCAAAAGTTATGAATTATTATTATGGAGCTATACACATCAGGATGTAATAAACTGTTCATTCGTGGATTGGAAACCCCTCCGAGAATTTTTGGGTTTAGTCCTACCGGCCGCACGTGCTTACATTATTCAGCAATCACAGACGATAAACTTGTTACACTGAGTTCATTAGTAAAGATGTTGACGCCACAGAGCAAAAGGTGCAGTGCATACTTTGGTTAACGGAATTTAAATCAGTCACGAGTGTACAGTGAAGTGTTCGAACAGAATGGAATGTCGCCTCTCCGACATCAAAATCTCTCCACCAATGGAAAAGAACTTTAAAGGAGACGGAAACTTTGGTATCTCAAACTGGCAAGTATCCTTAAGTTTTCGCGATAAAACACACTATTTATCGTGTGCGTGATTCATTTTGTAGTACTCCTGATAACAAACTATATTAGACAATCCAGTTGAGACATTTCATACTGTTTCAACATGTCACTTTACACGCGTGACCGATTTAAATTCCGTTAACCAAAGCACACACTGCACCTTTTTCTGTGGCGTTCACATTTTTACTAATGAAGTCAAGTTTATCGTCTGCGAATATCGAATAATGCGTGTACGTGCTGCTGATCGGACCCGACCCAAAAAGTCTCTTAGAGAGTTTTCCAATACACAGATGAACAGTTAATTATATTCTGATGGGTAGTTCCGTAATAATAAGCCATAACTTTTGGATACTTTAAGACCAAACACCCTGTATTTGAAACTGTGTTTTTTAAAATTTTATTGGAGATAGAAACATAGATGAATATTTGTAGATGTTATATACGAAGTCTGTTTAGGAAATTTATCAATTCAGTTGTTAATATGAAACATGGTTTCATAATATACACAGATACACAAATAAATATAAACAAAATAAAACGTATATACTAACGTAAATACAAACGCATATGTGAACTTTTAATAGAGATGTTTAGTATTAAGAATGTCGCTATTTTTTTTGTATCTTTCATTAATGATCATTGTTCAGAGTAATGAAGACTACTTCGGGCTAAATATATATCTGGAAATATATCTTCTCTTAGCGTTTTGTTATAACATCATTCTAATAAGATAAAAATTGGAAAGTTGGTACGAATTATTTTTGAGACACCAACTCGATTTTGCATTCTTCGCATTTCGCCAACAAAATTTTGTAATTTAATTAATAAGCTTTGATAGATTAATTTTATCAAATTATATTTTTATACTATTTTCAAAATTATTGTTTAAATTACGGAAATGAAATAGTTCAGTTTTAGTAATATAGAAAGAAACTGTATTTTATGTTTGATCTTGAAGTATTTTCCATACATATTCCAAAAGCTTCAAAAACTAATTACATACGAAATGAAGTTCAATAATACGAATGTTTTGTGATAAAGATACTTAAACAATTTTTTGCAATTTGTCTATGATTTCAAACTCAAAATTGTTGTTCCTAATGCCACCTGTCTGACGTAGTCAGATCGCGGCCCCGAAATTCATCATGGCAAGGGGCTAGATGTACGCTTCTCGTTTGCCTTAGCCTTGAGCACCATACAGATGACATTTCGATTTAGCACCGCGAAATTCCCGAAGGGAAAGAATGAACCTTGCTATAGAGCCTGTGGGACAGGTTGAACTTCTTTACGATAGATGGCGATACCACCGATCTCCACCTCCACAATTTAGGCATGGAACTGGAGGGGATGGAAATATTCTCTAGCCCCCCGCACTCGTGGTTTCAACTGCGACCACCCATAAGACTTTCGGACACACACTTTGATAATTGTGTGCATCTATTTCATTTAGATATTCAGTTTACGCTGACTGATGGTAATGTATATAAGCGAATTTCTTTTTCTTATGTTTTATTAACTCATTGAACAGAAACAGATAGCAACGTAATATAAATGATGAAAATACGATGCAAGTTGTTATTAAAATATAACTAATGTCAAAATGAGTTCCAGATTAGGTGTATTTCAATAAGCTTCATTTTATATAAGACTGGAATGCCATAATATATTTCACTGCATTCCCCTACTGGTTACTATTTCTGTTTTAATATACCTTTCTTATTTACTTTTCATAGGAATCGTATGTATTAAAACAAACATATAGTGTACATCTAAATTCTTTCATAATTTCATAAACTAAATAAAAAAAGGAGATAACTTCGCTGTAAGAAATAGAGATAAAGCAGAGAGAATAAAATAACATCAAATTACATAAGAAAATTAAAACTTATAACATTGAAGTATGTTTTTTTCAATTCCTATTATTAGCTCACGCTCTTTATATATTTATTTATCTTGGTGGAATTTTCAATCGTTAATAAAATACATTTTAAAGCGCTCAATTGAGCTGAATTTTATATACATGATTATTTTTGATGACAATACAGTAATTTAATTATAATTAATAAAAATTAATTTATTAAAACTAATTATTCAAAGAATTACAAATTCAGCCACGTTGGCATTATTTTTGGCGACTTGTGTCAAAACTTGAAAGGTTTTTTTTCTCACATTTTAAAGCGCTCATCTGAGCTGAATTCTATCCTCTATTGTTTTGGGTAAAAATACGATAATTTAACTATAATCAATTAAAATAAATTGACTGAAACTAAGTATTTAAAGAATTACAGATACAGCCACGTTGGTTTCCTTCTTAGCGACTTGGGTCAAAACTTTAAAAATATTTTTTTTCTCACGTTTTAAAGCATTCATGTGAACTGAAATTTTATAGACACGATTGTTTTGGATGACAATACGATACTTTAATGATTCCTTATAAAAATTAATTGCCATTTAATGTTGTGATTCTGTACTATGTATATACATATTTATATTAATTGTAACTATTAAAAAAGTAGCCAAAATAAAATTTTCTTTGTTGATCTAAGTAGGAATTGACTTAATTTTTTTATCACTTGTTTATTCAGAAATTTCCACGATCATACAGAAATAAACAATATTTAAAGAAAGTAACTCTTAATACTCTTTGCGTAGGAATACCAGAAAACTAACGGCGAAATTTATTTGATGGAAAATTTGAAATGCTGCCCTTGTTTTCACATCTCAACTCTGACGGAATGAACATGCATCTTTGTTTACGGAACTACTGCTTTTATTTTCTTCGCTCCACGCTTCATTATGCGAGATTAATGATTTAATACCACCACAGAGCACGCGTCTCTGAAATAGTCAGGAACAAACCTGTCTCACATGAAAGGCAAATGTGGTTGATCTTCGCAGATTAGTGTGGGGTAACACTATTAAATATTCCATCAAGCGTTTTTGCATTGAAGCATTGCAGAATTTTCGATCGTCAGATTAAAATGTATGAATGTTCTTTTCACTGTATAACCATCACAAAAAAGGTGTAATAAGCTTGCATTGTTTCGTAAATGGGCCTATACTAAACCTTTCTAACTAAAATGTTTTCTCGTGGGTGCTTATTGCCATAATAGACAAATGCTGCTAAAATCATAGTTCTAATGTAAGAATACTTAAGAAGTTTTTGAAACCAGATGTTATTCAAAAAAGAAATAAAAAGTAATACTTAAATTTCTACTTAGGTGAACAATGAAATTTTTTTTATTTTAGTTACTTTTCATTAAATAGTTACAATAAATATGTGTATACATACGACAGAATCACAACAAAAAGTGGCAAAAGAGAAAGAGATTTTCCTTTCTATATATGGTGTTGGGTTTTTATATTTTTGATTGTTACTATTTATTCATTCATAAATCACATTCTCAGAAATTAGGCCATCCCAGGTAGGATTCGAACCCACGAGCTTCGGATAAGAAGTCCAAAGCGCTATCCATTGCGGTTCAGGGACACAAGGAGCGATTTTTTTTAATATTTGGTGTTGGATTCTCATTTTTTGTTTGTTACTATTTATTCATTAATAAAGTTTAACTAATGAATTAATGTTTGAAAAAATTGTTTTAACATCTAAAGTCTTCCACTATAAGTTTAAAAAAATGTATTTGAACTTGAATGGATGAATAGAAAGAATTTTATTAACGATTGAAAATTTGGACAAGATATATATATAATATATATGTGGGAATCTAACCAAAATCTTCCAAAAAAGTTAGATTCTTCAGATAGAGGGGATTTTATTGGCGTGTGTCTTGGGTTTTTTTACGATGTATGGGTTAACTTTGAAAAGATAGACGACACAATTTAAAGAAATAAACTTGTTGCAAACTAAATAATTTATTATGAATTTTAGGGGAGCATTTACAGAATGGAAATTAGATAGGCATATTTTAAAGAATAGGAAGATTAGATTAACCCCTCCAGGAGGACAGTAGAGATTAAATAAAATTCATTATGCTGTGCTATTGCCGAAAAAGGTTGATGTTGGCGTTTTAATAAGCACTTGATGTGGAATACTGTCTTGATTAACTTGCCGTCCTCTTCAAAGGGATATGATCTAACCTTCTACACATGGGATATCGTTCTCTCTCTTCTCTCTCTCTCTCTCTCTCTCTCACACACACACACACACACACACACACACACACACACACACACACACACACACACACACACACACACACACACACACACACACACACACACACACACACACACACACACACACACACACACACACACACACACACACACACACACACACACACACACACACACACACACACACACACACACACACACACACACACACACACACACACACACACACACACACACACACACACACACACACACACACACACACACACACACACACACACACACACACACACACACACACACACACACACACACACACATACACACACACATATATATATATACACACACAGGAAGATAGTGAACTATATAGTAGGAAGATAGTGAACTAATAGTAGGAATTGAAAATAGAAAGCTTTAAGATAATAAAAATATAAAATTTTTCCTTCATAAGCGCCAGTCGTATAAGTGCTGGATTTTATTTTAGACGCAAAGTTTCATTTCTAAGCATTTTGCGTTTGTGGCTTGTATTGATACACAGTACTTTTTTTTTAAAGAAAAAATTTACAAAGAAGGAATTAAGTATTGAAATTTGCTATTCCTTTCAATGCTATTGATCCCCGTTTTTTTTTAAATTCAGTTTTTTTAAAGCTGCAGATAAGTGCTAAGATTCCATGAAACTATTGTTTTAATATGCGCACCATTATTCATTTCTTGTAATTGTGTGTTGTACGAAATAATATAATTTTTTGGTGATTAAGCTGACTTACTACTTTCGGAACCGTGATTTTGAAACCGTGTATAAATGAATAATTTTTTTTGATATTTAATATCAGTTGCATTAGAATATACATATAAAGTTGTTGTTTAAAGAATATTATTCCAAGAAACAATTATTTAAAAGCAATTTTCTGGCAAAAAATGAAGAGAAATATATTTGAAATCCTCTTTCCATTAAAAAAAATGCTTCTATAAAAATCTTTGGTCAATATGATGTTGTTACTCTAATACCGAGGCTGGACTAGTATTTCGAAATGCATAATTTTAAATTGGATTTATTCATATTTTAATACATAAGAGTAAAGAAATTGTAACAAACAAGTAATATTAAAAAGAAAATTTAAGTCAATTTCTACTTAGATCAACAAAGAAAATTTTTATTTTAGCTACTTTTTAATAAATAGATACAATTAATATAAATATGTATATACATATGACAGAATCACAACATTAATTGGTAATTAATTTTTACTGATTATCATTAAAATACCGTATTGTCATCCAAAACAATCGTGTTTTTAAAATTTCATTTTAACTGAATGCTTTAAAACGTTAGAAAAAAAAATATTTTAATGTTTTGACCCAAGTCGCTAAGAAGGAAACCAACGTGGCTGTATCTGTAATTCTTTAAACAATTAGTTTCAGTAAATTAATTTTAATTAATTATAATTAAATTATCGTATTTTTACCCGAAACAATAGTGTATAGAAAATTTCAGCTCAAATGAGCGCTTTAAAATGTGAGAAAAAAAAACCTTTTCAAGTTTTGACACAAATCGCCAAAATAGTCGCTAAGTTACCAAAAATAATGCAAACGTGGCTGTATTTGTAATTCTTTGAATAATTAGTTTTAATCAATTAATTTTTATTAATTATAATTAAATTACTGTATTGCCATCCAAAATAATCATATATATAAAATTTCAGCTCAGTTGAGCGCTTAAAAATGTATTTTATTAACGATTGAAAATTTCACCAAAATAAATAAATATATAGAGTGTGAGCTAATAGTAGGATTTCAAAAACACCCGTTATTATTTCAGTTGATCTTAACTTAGAAAATAATGTGAATTTTTCAAAATTTCTAGTTTAGCCCTGTATAACGTACTCTAGGTCTATATAAGTAAAATATTATTGTTATAGAAGCATTTTTAATAAAAGGAGAATTTTCTGAAAATGTTATTTTATTTTCATTCTGTACCAAAAAATTGCAATTAAACATTTTTTTTCCTGTAATAATATTTTTGAAAAAAAAATTTGCATGTATCCTGCAATTCAATTGATACTAAATATTAAAACATTATCCATTTATACGATTTGTGAAGAACACAATTCCGCTCATAGTCTACTTAAATTAAAATAAGCACACTCGTGCAAAAAAAAAAAAAAAACCACCCCACTTCTTTGTTTTAAATTAAAAATTAGTGTAATTTTAAAATATTTTATCCTTAAAATATTGTTAATTAGTTTATTTCCCCAAAATTGAACAATCTGTAGTAAAAAAATAGAAAAAAATACAAGAAAATTTTAATAAATAAAACTATGCATTCTTAAATGAAAAAAAAGGTTATCCTTTACAAATTAGGCCTACTCCCTATTTAAAAATAAAGCCTTTTTTCATTTTATTAATGTAATTTTTTATTTATTATTAGAAATATATTTATTTATTTTTTGATCATTCAAGGGCTCCTACGATTTTCCTTTACTGTTAGATCTAATTTATTTTAATATTTAATAATATTTAATCACGGTGTTAATTTAAATAAAATTAAGTAATACATATTGAAAAAAAGTAAGGCATGGAGAAAATTAAATTTGCCTATGATATTAAATAATATTTTCAATGGTTCAGTAAAATTGTTTGAAAAGAATTTCTAAGTACTTTTTCTATTGTCACAACATTCCTGGGTGGGCCAAGGCCTTCTCAAAAACCTCCTTCCATTCCGATCTCCGCTTAGCAATAGTTTAATTAGCCACTCTTAAAATTTTAAAATCGTCCTCCACACAATCAGCTAGCTCATCGTAGTTTGGGCCTGCCCCTAGTTCTAGTTTCAACTGATTTGTAATTGAAAAATTTGAACGTGAAGGATGAGGGGTCTATACGGCGCGCGCGCGCGCGCACAGATGTTAAATACTTGTTTCTGATTTATTTTCTAGAAATGAGGATATGTGCTGAAAATGTATAAAAGACCTCATAAACTCAAAAAATCATTATAAAATTATTAAAATTTAATTGTATTTGAAATGAAAAACAAATAATTTAGCCTAAATTTGAAAAAAATTGGGTCAAAAAATGCAGTCATTTTTTTTGATGAAAGAATCTTACTCTGTACGAAATAAGATTTGAATGATAAATAAATTCCTAGTCCTAATCAAGCTAAAATGCATGCAAAAGATGCTTAAAAATGAAGTTTATTTGCTTCAAGAAAAAGAAGTCTTTGAAAGTTCAAAATAATTTAAACTATGAGCTAATTTTCCAGTTTATACGAATGTAAACCAGAACACAATATACTATACATTATTAATTTCAAAAATGCAGATGTATAAAAAAACATTATTAATTCTCATAATGGATTTGTTGAAAGTTCATTCATGGAATATGAATTCAAAAATTAATAGCACTATTGTTCATTTGGAATAGTGTTAAGGCTTGTGTGTGTGTAATATTCTCTCTAATTGTTAATAATCGCTTGCTATTTTATAAATGCAAAATAATATTAGGGTAATTGAAACGGTCGAAGTTAAAAATTGTTTGGTTCGGAATGAATTTATTCGGAATCGTTTGCATTCCGAATAAAATAATTCCAAACTCAAAATTAGCGTTCGAAACTTACGTTTTTTTTGTAGAAATAATATATTCATACATTTTTCTTCTGCCCGCGAAGAAAAAAAATACCAGAAAATATTCATACCATAACGAATATGTTTTGCAAACAATTATGCGAAGAAGAGGAAGTGCACGTCAATGTTGTGAAAGAAAAACAAAAATGTTTCCGCGCGGTTACTTATGTTAGTTAGAAGAAATATGCACGATACGTGACGTGCATATCAAACTGAATCAACTGTCAAAAATTTCTGTATCCGGCTCTTTCTTGTGCAAGAGAATGACAAGAAGGATTTGGATCCAGGAATAGTTGGAAAAGCCGAAGTCATTCACTTAGATTATTTTAATTATTGATTTTGGGAATGAAATTAGGTTAAGCCTAAATCTCAGAAATATAGTCACTTTATGCCTCGTGGGATTTATTATATCTTGAAATTTCGCCATCTCAATTCCATCTTGTTTTCCCTTTCTTCTGTTTTTATCTTTATATTTATTTGGCTTGTACCTAGCCTTGTCATAAATTCGGATACAACTATGAAATAGTTAAAATTTAAAACTTTATCATCAAATTTAAACCTAAAACTTCTTAAACCTTTAAATTCTCAACATATTGTATTTTGTATTCAAAATTATCCCCTTCTGACTTCCTTCACACAGGCTTCAAATCTCTTTGCCAATCGTCTATCGAGACATACACTACCTATGTGGAAATTTCCATCGCTTAGGATGCTATTTTTGCCCACCTTCGCC